CTCGTTGCTGTTATATGCCGACGATGCCAAGCTGTTTGTGAACAATTAATGCTCCGGACGATACCCGCGCACCTCCAAAGGGACCTCAACCGCATGCACCAGTGGTCCCTGGAAAATAACCTTCCGTTTAACGCTTCAAAATGCGAACTTCTCCAACCGCTCTCTAACCGCTTTTCTTTCAATATACTTCCTGGAGGAGTCTGTTCTCCAGGCTCGTCAGCCGAAAGAGATTCTGGTATCAGCACCCAAATCAATCTTTCTGTATCAAAAAACAACTCTTGTGAGAAGACGAAAGCTGGCAGATGTTAAAGATTCCGTATTGTCCCTCCGTGCCAATACAATAACAGAAAAAATATATAACAACAGCAGGGTGTGACCGATAAAATAGAGACAGGGTAGGGTACAGATATGTCACCCCTACGCCCATGGGAGGCCTTAAGCTTAGAAACCGCTGTTTTTTGCACACATAGTGCCGGTTTGGTTCCTGCTGATCGCGACAGTCTCGGCGAAATGTAGGATGCGGCTGTTAGCTTGTCTCAACAAGGTTGTGAACTGCGTGGCAGGGTCGAATGTGAACAAGTGGACAATAAATGTCTACCTATGGATGAGGCAGGTGCTTTCGTGAACATGTGGTAGACGAGGAGGAAGACAATAAGAAATGTTAACATCTGCCAGCTTTCGCTTCTCACAATGTTGTTTAAATACTAAAGGAACTAAGTGTTTCAAATTCCTTTCTGTATCTGCTTCCTGCCGCAAAGTCACCTCTGCTGCAACCAATGCTAAGATTGTTAAAACGTGCTTTCGGCCAAACTGACCCGTGGAATATTTTGTCTCCTCCTAAACATACACTGCCCTCACTTGGAGTTTTGTTATCCAGGCTTGGAGCCTCTGGTGGCTTAAAAACCAGTGTATGCTTGAAGAACCAGCAAGTACGTGGGACGAAACTTGTAATGTCTTCAGATAATATTGGAATGTCGACAACGGCTTCATCGCCTTGGTCTCTTCTCTCTGAAATACCGACGTCTTCGGGTCAACTATGATCCTTTTGGGTATTTATTAATCCCTGTTTAGAACCCTGCCGCGATCTTAGTCAAAGTAAAACCACTCATGCTCCCCTATTATGCGTGTCATCCGTCCTGCTCACAATCACCGCCGTCAGCACAGCCGGCTTGAATAGTGCAGGCGAACACCTACTTCGCCTCCTTAGATTGCGGAACGGCGGAACGCCCTGTCCTGAAGACTAAGTCCTCGTCACCTCCTGCAGCCAATTTCAAGACCAAGTCTGGACCGTCATCTATGACGAACCTGCATCACGACTCTTACCTCGTAGACCGCTAATCAGTGTATATCTGTATCTTATACCCCAGACTAGCTTACAGTCAAACTCCCGGCCGCATGACGCAACAAACTGTTCTCCCTTCTAACCCAAAAGCTACCCCGGTGTGGTTATTTTTTCCCCAATGGTGTTTTTTTTTATTTATTTAAAGTGATGTGGAAAGTGGCCTTTTCCAATTGGCACCCTGATTCCTCATTTTAGCAGTATCAGAGGACGAGGTGGGAGTGACACGGTTTGAACCGTGCTGTAGCAATTCTGTTTAAATGCTACAAAACCCAGAAGAAGATACAGTTAACACGCGAGTCCAACAAGCTAAAAGTGATGTTATCTGGCCATTTTCATAAGATCAGACCCAAACTCTTTATAACCTATGGGTCATGTAAAGATAGAACATTTATTCCCATTAGATACAATATTCCATTTGCTACCTTGAAACTGACACCCGACGGAACCATCCCTCCTGCTTCAAACTAACCAAGGCAGCGGAGATCTATCCAATATTCACAAGCCTCAATCTGTTTTGCACTGCGCATTCGTTTCGTCCAACTCGTTCGTCAACGACAGCAGGCACAAGAACCCAGACTGACGCTGACGCTTCGCGCATTGCGATTACATTTGGTGTGCATCACTTCTGAAACTGAGCACACCTGAAGTAAGAGGGAAGTTAGGCAGGCACGGTCAGATTAGAGACGAGGGTGCTCCGGATCGAACGACTATCTTGTACTGATGTGCGCCACCTTAGGAAGACGGCGACGCAAGCAGCTTGCTATTCAGTGGCCATTATGAAATAGTTGGCGTCCGTGTTGTGAAGCTGTACCGATGCAATATT